AAAGCGCACACCTCCTTGTAGTCTAGTGGGCGCAGTGCCCTCACGATTCCGCTCTCCGCGTCCACGGACACAAATGATGCCACAGTGGGATACCGAGAGCGGCCCCAGCGCGTAGCTCACGTCGGCGTTTTTTCCCGCGTCGGCGTCCATGCACTCAGGTGGCCCAGGGTCATCACCGCGGGCTAGTTTTCGCTCAGCATCGTGGTGTAAAATGCCTGAGCGAAATTGGGAGCGTTGTCGTTCACGTCCAGGAGCTCCACGAACAAAGTCTTGGACGCCGAGAGTGCGGGAGGATTCTCGTTCCAGGCCCGAACGGTCACACTGTACTCCGCCACCTGCTCCCGCTCCAGCGCCTACGATGTCACCAGCGCGTACGCGTCGTCCACCAGTGACATGATGCTAAATGGGTGCTCGCCCGTCAGCTCGCAGCTCGTCCTGCCGTTGTCCTCCGAGTCCCGATCCCACACGTTTGAAGACGGCCACCACGGTGTTTGTTCACGTCCTCCACTTTCACCTCCACTTTGCAGTGTGCGGTTGGGCGCCCTGCGTCTGTGGCCTGGACGTCTATCTCGCTGATCTTCATTTCTTCATAATCCACTGGCTTTTTTAGTCGAATCTGCCCTGTCTCTGGATTTATTGTAGACGTCTTGAGATTTTCCTCTGAATATTGAACTATGTAATAGGCTATTTCCCCGTTCGTTCCTGAGTCTAAATCGCTAGCAGACACTGTCATCACTAAGGTATCCTGGGAGCTATTTTCTAACACTCGGACTTTATACAGACTCCGGCTAAATACCGAGATGTTGTCATTTGTATACAGGACTACCACGAGAATTAAGGATACACTAGACCGCGGTGGAGACCCACCATCCATAGCCGTAATGCTGAAAGCCACTTCTTCCTGCTGCTCCCGGTCCAGGGTTCAGTCCAACACCAGTTCGCCGTACCTCCTCCCGTCACTCCGCCTCCAGGTGTAGATATGGAAATACTCGTTCGAGCTGATACTGTAATGCTGAAGAATGTTGTTCCTCACATCTGGATCCTGAGCGCTTTCCAACAAAAATCGAGCCCCCGGCATTGCAGTTTCTGGGATCTTTAAAACTATTTCTTTATTTAAGAACATAGGAACATGATCGTTTATGTCGGTGAGGCTTACCTCAGCTCGGAAGGACTGCAGTGGACTCTCCAACAGCATCCGAAACGCACCAGGCAAGGCTCGGTCTGCCCGCACAGCTCCTCCCGGTCCATCTGCTCTCGCACCACCACATCTCCGGTGTGTTTGTTCAGCTGTAAATACTGTTTTTCTCCTTCAGGAACGAGCCAAGCCTGTCGACCCGATAATTCCTCACCGGTCAGTCCCAAATCCTTAGCGATATTCTCCACAAAAGAGCCTCTCTCCACCTCTTCCGGCACAGAATACCGGTTAGTTTCTGCTCTCATCCCAGACACGTAGAGGAGCAGGATCAGAGCCACCGCTGTACCTGGGAGCGGTTCCTCGCTCTTCCTCAGCTCCATTCCCTCCCAGTGAATCGATCTCCTCCCCCTGTGAACTGGATGGAGTTGCCGATCCAGCCCGTCGACCCTCGGGCAGAGCAGCCCGGGATGGTGCAGCCCCGCGAACCCCGGGGGGCGGTGGATCTGGGAGCTGCGCGGAGCCTCCGCACCTCTGCAGTCAGCAGCGGCACCAGGCGGCCAATTTGCGGAAGGACGCGGAGATTTCCCAGCGCAAAGACTGCAGAACAGAGAGAAACCGCTCGATTTCTCTCTTCCGAGGTCGGTGCATACAGATTTAACTGCCCATACAATCCTGTTCAAAGTATGGCCACCACGTGAATGAACAGTGCTTCTGTTTGCCTTTTATCTGAAAACAAGATTTATTTAAAGCTGTTTTTTCTAATGTCCCTCCCCACAACACTTTGAACTGTTTATGCAGAGTGAAGAAATTACTTTTAAGCTGTTCAGATAAAAAAGCTGTGTATTGTTTCAGGTGTCTAGCATCAATCAGCTGGTCCATGAACAGCGGCAGCCATAGCCATGTAGTTCCCGTAGTAATTCTCGGGTGGGTTTCTGTAATGAACCGAGATTGTTCCCCCAATTCACGACCTCATGACCTTGCAAAGGGGCTGGAGGGCAGCACTTCTCGGACTCTTGGCTCAGACAAGCCCCCTCGTCCTTACTCCACCTTCTGAGAATGGCCAACTTCCAGGTCACTCTGATTTCCCCTGCATAAAATCCACTCCAAAATGCACAAAATTATTCCCAAAATCTTGCTCTTGGGGTGGCTTGTTCCTCGGTGATGGCTGTAGCAAGTGATCTCCAAGATAGCACACTCACCCAATGGAGTTCCAAGTAGGTTTTATTGTTTTCTGTCATCAGGCATTTGACTCTTAAAAGCGTGTGAGTGACAGGAAATATCAGAGTACTTTATAGATCAAAACTGATTAATGAAAGGAAAGAAAACAGAAAGCTTCTTGACACCCTATATTCTACAGTGCCTTAAGTTTATTGTAAATGTTTTAGCCTATTTTACTGTAAAACCACAAACAGTACTTTAACTCTCTACTACCTTATACTTAAAAATCCTGAAATGTTCATTTCAACTTTACATTATGAGAAAAAAAAAACCCCAAACCAAAACATTGCTCAAAGCCCACTCTTTACAGTGCAGAGAACCTGTAAACTGGTCAAACATGCAAAGCATGGCAATGTCAGCCATTTCTAATGTAAACTTCTGTTTGTTATTAAGGAATTCCTTTGCAAGCACCACTGAATTTTCTTAATATTTGTTGAACACACTGCAGAAAATTATTATTACAGAGCCATCTCCATAAGAAAAAAAAATTGCAGAAAAAATATGTATGAAAGTTATCTTAAAGATCTGCTTCAGTTTTCATGATTTGCCTTAATATTTAGAAGTAGCACTTTCACAATCATACCTCAAGTCTCAGTGTAATCAACATGCAACACAGTCCTCCTCCTTCATCCATATCACAATTACAAAATACCTACATGAATAAAGTACTGCTCAAGAGGAGAGCATTTCTGTTCTCTTACAGAGAAGACTTGTACCTTCCTGGTACTTTTTTGGTGGGTATTTGGTCCCTTCATTCTCTTTTCCCTGTGAGGACGTTAGCCAGTGAGGACAGACATGCTTGTCTTTCTCCTCACTTACTGATGGCTGAGCCAAGGGTTTTGATCAGAATTGACGTTTAGCTCCATCCCCCTGTTTGCAGTGCAAGCTGCTTCTGCAAGTCTGGGCCCCATGTCTTCAGAGAGGGGAGCTCTGCCCTGCAAAGAACAGAGAGTGGAGGTTGTCATTTGGGTGTTGGAAGGTAAGCAGGCATCAGCAAGAACCTTAGAGGGCATGTCTTACACCACTGTGTGTGTGACACCACTCTACCCAGAGCCAAAGAGGAGGCTGGACCAGGTGGTGGATCTCTGACCTGAATGGGGAAAATCTAAAGGTAGAAAGCATCCCCCACTGTAGACATCACAAAGACACTACTGTAAACCTCTTAGGAGTTTGAAGGAGTAATTTAAGATGGTAAGAACCCAAAATAAAACCACTTTCTCACAAACAGTAAATGCAGTTTAATGTTGATGGGTCCTTGCCTCCCCTGAGGCTACTGCAACTGTGGTTCTGAGAACCTGCAGTAAAGTGAGTCCAAGTCAGCAGTGGTTAAGAAATACAAAAACGTTAAGGGATGACCATAAGATGGTGTTTGTGGGTCTTCAGCCTCCTATGTGTTCATCATCCAGAGTCTTGTGAAGTGCTAGATGGATCACCAGAAACTAGTTAACCCCATGTTTAGAGGGGACTTGGACTCACTGGGAGAGTGAGGAGAGAAGGAGCTGTTTCAATGATCACCTCTTGTTGTCCCCCTACCATGCTCTTTGAAAAGCTGGAGGTTAATGCGTGCCTCAGACATGACACTCTTAAGTTCACCACAGTACTGAGAAGAGAGGTGCTGGTACTGTCTGGGAGCACCCAGCTGGGTCAGAAAAGAATGGGAGGGTGCGTTGTAAAGTCACAATAACCGCTTTTTTCTGGTCAATACTGTTCATGCAAGCACAGAACTATAAGGGAATTTAATAGCAGAGGTCCCCACCTCCGTGGCCTCCAGCAGCTTGTAAGATAACTTGAGTTCAGCACTGCCACCACTTTGGTGAACGGCACTTGGCAACGCCGAGCACCAGCTCCTAACAGCAGTGCAGGGGACATCATCAGTGAGGTGACACCCCTTTGCACCATTATTCCTGCAGTCCTGGTTAACGCTGGACGGGACCACTACATTCCTGATGCTGCCGCCTCTGGGAGGATGTGTCACCAGGAGCAGTGTCGTTCCTGCTCTGGGTCCCTACGGGGTCTACACTGTGAGTGGACAGGACCCGATGTGTGGCTCACACATCTATACCCCTACTTCTCATCTTCTCATGATCCAGCTGCTCCCCTTTGGGGTGACACCAAAGACTTGATCGAACATGGATACCCAGGGTGCAGGGCTGGATGCAGAGGGGTGCAGATGGTCAGCCCTTGGGGACCCGCTAAGCCGTGCTGGATCCTCATGGGAGGCCCCTGCCAGTGGCTCTGAGACCCTCTCTACCCTCTTCTCTGGCCCCAGTGCCTCCTCCACCACCAGCTCCGCAACATCGATAGTCCTTACTCCCTGGGGTGACATCCCCCTACCCCGCACTGCTCCCTCCCCGCTCCCCCCATCTCCTTGGCCTGGCCAGGTCCCTCACCTGTGCAGCCCAGTCGCCTTCTTCCCCAATGTTGGCCGCCTCTTGCGAGTACACCGAGCTCCGCTGTTCGCCCAGGGCGGGAGGCAGCCCGGCAGGGAAGCAGGGGAAGAGGGGTCTGAGGAACCGAAACTCGCTGTTGACAGTCCCAGCGGTGAAGCAGACGTCATACATATAGCTGCGGGGCAGGGAGCCCGCGTTGCTCTCCGTGGCAGACTTTGGGAACGTGGGCAAGGTCTCTGCCTTGCTCCGCCTGGCACGCCGCACCTTCACCACCACGGTGGCCACCGCGGTGCCCAAGAACAGCACCGACACACAGGCCAGGCAGATGATGAGGTACAGGGTCAGTGGCCTGTCGGGCTCAGCGGCCAGCACCTCCTCACTCACCCGCAAATGGGCCTCGGAGAAGCCATCTACCAGGGCGATGCTAAGGGTGGTAGTGGCGGAGCGCGGCGGCTGCCCGCGGTCTCGCACCAGCACGACGAGTC